ATATATATATATTTGACCGTTTTTATATTTTAAAATTGGGGGTGTACGATAGACTTACCTCCACATGGTGTGCCCTGGGCAATGTATACTCATACGACAAAAAAATCTATCAGCCGGCAGTTGATTTCTGGCTTCCAACTACCATGACCCCACTGTGTGTCATATTCCACCACTTCTACCGTACTCACCTCACCTTATCTTTTTCTCTACCTTCGTATCTGCCTCATTTACATCTGTGAATCATTCTTCTATTCCCCCTCCCCTCTCGACTTTTCACTTCGATGTCTTCCCCCCTCCCCCACTCAGTGAAGCCCAAAGTCAACTAAAGGTCTAAAGATAAGTATCACAAAGCCTGCCATTTGATATAAATAAACAAATAAATATTCTTAAATTTTCTCTGTATTGGATATTTTGACATTGGTCGCTGGTATTTTAGAATTCTTCTTTGAAAACGTGAAGTTTTAAATTAGAGGGAAAATAAAGACTTAAACAAAGCAAAGAAATTTTATCCAAAATCGAGTGCAATCATCCCATCCTCCACCCCTCCTTCCCCATACTTTAAGCCACTAAAAGGTCTGCTGCCAAGTTCTTTGTTAACTAACAGCTGATTCGCTGTAATTCCTGATTATGATTGATGCGGCATTAATGTCCTGCAAACTAAAGTTATAGGTGATAAGGTTGCATGACTGATAATCAGTGCCAATTTGATTAATTTGTCGTGAAAGGAATTTAACCTATCAATCCACTTGAGGGAAAATGGAAAGAGGCTGCCATTCACATGAATAAAGGGCTAAAATTTTAATAAAGAAACAAAATATTGTCAAATAAATTTTAAAAGGTTAATGGGTTTTAGAAGAGAACTTGCAAAGAACTCCAGGTGATGGTTGGTCAAGTTTAAATTTTCGTGAATATTCCAGAAAATGATTAAACGACAACGATTTACAAAGCTCGTTGTATCTATAAAACCGTCTCTTTTCACTATCTCCACTATCCTCTGATACTTACAATCCTTCCAAATCCGAATTAAAAAATGCGAAAGACTTCTACATATTATTTCAACGGTATTAAGAAAATACGCCCCCCCCCCACACCAGCAGAAAAGTAGCTTCATTAACCAATAGGAACTTGGGAAAGATACTAAAAAGCATATCCTCCACTTGGAGGAACGAATTACGTCCACATACTCTCCTGTAAGCTTGAACTCATTTAAATAGGGTTTCCGGGTTTTTGAGTTAGTGGACCTGTTAATTTCAAAGTTTTTACTCAAATATGCAATGGCTTAGATTTTAAGGCAGGCATGTAGAGATATCCCACTACAGATACGTTTGTTATGCTTCTACTTTGTTTCAAATTAGAATGGCAATATCTTAACTAGATTTCAAATATCCACTTCCATGGGCCACCTCTTCAATGCGTCTTATGTTGAATCAGCCGTGAACAGAACTGTTCTCACACTACTGTCAACAGCCTTTTTATATCCGTTTACGTTCCACTTGATGAAAAGGTGTAAAATTTTCCCTATATCGTTTCTAGTTCTACTTCGTCATTACTAGTTGTTCAAGTAATGTACGTAGCACAGCCATAGTTGAAGGGAGATCGTTTGAAAAGGGGTAGAGAGATTTGATCAATTAACTCTTCTTTTCGTAGACCAAAGAAAATATGCTGGAAATTCCATTAAACCATCTCCAAAAAAGAGTCACATACTGAATTCGATAACGACGCTGAGGTCGACATTCCGGGATGTGTAATTCAAAGTCACCATATGGTAGGGGAATCATCCACCTCTTCTATTGTTCTATTGGATGATTGCAAGCTAATTTTAGCGCAATTAAATACAGCCTGTTTGTTGCAAATCACAGCGTATGCAAACAAATTGTTCCGTAAATTCAAATTGGGAAGTTGGATGAGTGCCTCCTTTTGCCAATCAAGTAGGGGGATTAAAAAAATCGATTAAGAAAGCCCAAGCGTCTACAGGATGCTTTGAAAGAAATATTCTAAATGCCCAAAAATATGAAGGTTCTGTGTTGGGCAGAAAATGTGTATTTCAAGAACAAGATCTCCTAATTTTGTAGTTTCCTTGTATTTCATGCATAAAAATGTTCAAATTGTGCCCTCGATACAACCTCCATTTTAATAGACTTAATAAATTGCCCAACTGGTGGTCCAATTAGAAAGGGAACTTAATGAAACAAATGTAGAATAACCGTTATTGAACAAGAACAAAATTTCAAAAATATGAGGCATTCAAAGAACCGTTTATTTTCAAACAATATAGGAATAGTAAATTAGCACGATATGAGTGGCAACAATTGCATTAATTTTTTTATAATGGAAGGTCACCATCAAACAAGATCCGTCATCAGAAAAGAGAGTGAGAGGAAAGAAACATATGAAAAGGAAAAGGTGAACGTGGGAACAATTCAATGATACCAACAGAAGTGATGTAGTCAAATAACAACCGATTTCAGTAGTATATATATATATATATAGAGAATGTGTGTGTGCGCCTAGATGTATACAAATAGGGGTTTGTGAAGTTAAAGTCAGGTATCTGAAGAGGAGGGATTTAATGAAAGACTATATAAGAGGAAGAGATGACAATAGGAGGATGGGTTGCACTGTACAGAGGTCAAAGTTCAACGAGAGGATGCAGTTGTGGAGCGAGATGTGGTTGTGGACGCAGAGGAAGAGGTCAACGGTGCACTTAGTACACAATCTTCGCCTTCGAAAAGGGTAACGTAGTCGGAAATTAATCGATTAATTACCGCCTGTTCAAATTTAGCTCCAGCAAGACAGCTCAAGGGGTCTGTATAGGAGGAACTCATTAGACTTGGTGCGAAAACGATGGCCAGATTCTCTGAAGACATCATGTTCATTTTTTGATGCTCCGCAACCCTGGAACCAGAGGAGTAGCAGATAAAACGGGTAATAAAACACCGACTGAAGATTTGAATCGTTTTGAGCTTAAATCGGAATATTAATATCTAACCAAATGAACTATATTTAAGGCAGTGCCTTGTCCAACCTCTCGCTTTGAAGGAATTGCTGAATAGCGTTGAATTCTATTGGTACCAAAACTGCCTACTGAATTCGAAGCACAAACCTGATCAGTAATCTAGGTACATCTTGCTGATGGTTATGCTGGCCATAACTTAAGATCCTGGATACAACCTAATGAACCCAGAAACCGAAGGGGGTAAAAGTTACTCTCTCTTCTTTCTCTGTTTGAACACTCCTACTATTTCCCAAGTTCAAATGGTATCTCGTGATAATGTGTCATTTGTTTTATTTGTAATAGGCAACTCAGATTGAAATTTATTATACAAGGTCAATAACGCAACTTGTCTTTATTCATTCGTTAACAAAACAACGATAGGCGTCAAACTGTAGAAGAGATTGATCCAATAAGGCCATCTGTGAGCTTATTCGTCAGGTTGAGCAAGTAGATTCCAGGAAAATTCATCGAACCTATCTTGCCTAGAAACTCTTAATCATTTACAAGGCAATTTCATTTGTCCCATTAAATCATTAAAAGTTGTGGCGAACAAGCAATCTTGCAAATTATCTGCTCTGTGTTAGAAATATTCAAAGACTAAATGACTTACCGATTCAAATGGGCCATCAGATATCGTAGGCAGTAGTAATGCGCCGTTGGAAGCCGTTGGATACAGGCCTTAATTAGGACATGCTTTTGTTCATCTGAAAGATCCACATTTCCTAAAATAATAATAGTAATACTGACTTCTTGCCAGCTAACCGAAAGGTATTAAGCTTATATTGCTTCAAAGCTGATTTTATCACCGAATTAGTAAATAGCAATTTATTCAAGAAAACCAAAAAAGGATTATGTTTAATTAAATAAAAACAGTTTAAAATTTGAAAAAAATCCCCAAAATCCTCAAAAAAGCAAGCTGGACTACACTATTGCCAAATACTACTTATTAAATTTCAGGGTTTAAACAGGTGTAATTATGTACCAAATTGAAAGATAAGTCATTACAACCAATTAGCGTCTCTCTGCTGCCTACTATTTCATCTGTGCCAGGATGGCAGGATCTAATTGCTTGAATTTTGACGTCCCAGCAGGCTAGAGTTTATAAACAATTAAAGTTGGACGCACCCGAATACACGCACGACGTCCTGACAATCCTTTTGATTTGTCAGATTCGGTGCGCGTCCGTGTGCACAGGAAGAGGGGTTGACACAAGTAATTAAAATGTCATCAACATTGACACAGCTAATTAGGAAGGCCAAATTCGGAGAGAATCTCACTAAACTAATCAAATTGCAGATGAATTGATTGGGAAAGAGGAATTATTTTATTTGCATCAGTGGAACATATTTTTAAATTCTTAATACAACAAACTTTATTCTATGACTGTCTAATGATTTTAAATTTGTATTAATGCAAAACAAGTATTTAATTTAAGATAGAAAAAAAGGAATAATCGTGTAGAATTCCGAGATCTGATTGGTGAAAATCTATGGATACTGGAACGGAAATAAATGCATAAATATGATAGCTGCATTTGCTACATTTACTGAATTTAAAAAATAAACCCATTTTTTACCGTAATTAAAAGAGATTTTTTCTTTCAAACGAACTATTCTTGCGTATAAAACCGTAATAGTTGTTAGTATGTTTTACTAACTGGCAATCATGTGTTTTTTTCTAGAAACGGTATTGCATCACTTAACTGGCTTAACAGATGTGCCATTTAGCAAAGTTTTTGCTTCACCAAAAGATGTCATTTCTGTTCAGCTCAATCCTTTTTTTCAGGAAAGAAAAATATTTCATAGAAGAGCTCATTTTTAGAGGATATTTTCACCATCAAATGGCAGTAAATTAAACAGCGAAACACCACGGCCAATCGTATGTGAATAGCAAAATTAAAGATGTATTTTTCAGCACGAATCATCACTGGTGGCTCGACAGTAAAATAGGATATAAATGAGTAACTATTGCTAATTATTCTTATTAATCAAATCCTTTTGCCAAAAACAACGACGAATCTTCGCTAAAATGAATAAGCGTGAGTGAATTTTTCGAATTTTTTTTGGGGGATCGGGGGGATACTCAAAACCCCTTCAAAATGTTAATATCTGAAAATTGTAACAAATAATTAAAGTCATAGCTTTCTACTATTCAAGATCAAGGATCAGCAAAGAAATTCAATATGCCAAATGTACTGCGAAGACTTTTCCCTCCCCCCCCCCTACCCCTTCCCCCCCCCCTCAGACAACCAAATTGGTCCTGTTAGCATTTTGGCAAATAAAGGATGCAATGTAGACGATGTTCCTATCAGTAGAAGGTATGAAAAGTCACATATTCGGGGGAAAAAACTTCCACTGGTAAACTATAGGAACCCTGTTTTAAGTAGATGCCCCCCAGTAAACTATCGAATGGAGACAATACGATTAATTGTGTGCATCGCAATTTAACCTCGGGTTAAACTGAAACCAGAACTGAAAGAGGATTACTTCAAAAAAAAGATTCAAGAATAAAACAGAGAATTCAAAAGATGCGATATTTTTTCGTATTTGTTAAAAAAAAGCTATACAAAGGTAAGAACAAGCCCAAGACAATTTAAATCATGAAAAGAAACAACTTCATCAATTTTTGAAAAATTAAAATTAATACACGAAAATAATACGACAAATCGGCCACATTTGAAAAAGGTACATGCATGAAAAATGGAACACTTAGACCTAGATGGGAGATATAACAGGATATACGAGGTTACTAGTGCTAATTGATTAAGGGAAAACTAGAATTCAAAGTCAGAATAAACGATTAAAGCAAATATGTATTGACAAATTGAAGGAAGCCATAGAAAGAATGTGAAAATCTTTTGAAGCTTGGCTTTGAATGCCGCGAAGCGAAATTTTCTTTATAAATTTGATACATTCAAATGTAATTGGAAACCGCGTATCCATTAGCTAGTACTTTTAGCACTGTGTAAATAAAATTCCATCCAATAGACACTGGGCAACTGCATTGTGGATTTTTATAGTAATACCAATAAAATGTCACCATAAAGGTCTTAGCAAAGAATGGATGATAACGAGTGAAGAGAAAGGCGCCCTTATTCTTTATACACAAATCTAGAAACCAGTTTAGAGAGAGAGAGAGAGAGAAAAGATTGGGACAAAATATGCACAAAACCCAGCTAATCAGCATGAAAATAAAGCAATTAAATCAAGAAAGAAAAGTAATGACAAAGTGAATATGTCAAAGGGAATATGTCAACACATCAATAAAATCCCCCCGATAAATACCACCAGGGATTTTTACTCGATTCACTGATCAGCAAATCACGTCATGATTTATGCTATGCTTACTTGCTAATCATTCAAACCACTCATGTTTGTGGACAAAATCAAGAAGTCCCTAGACCGAGAAAGCTTTCCCATTGGTCAATTCCATATATCGATCATTATCTGCTGACTGATTTTGTATTGATTTTCGTTCATTAACACCCTCACACACATACGACTGTGCGCTATTGATCTTTCAAACCAATTGATATACAGCTTCAGTTTAATTAGCGTCCTCATTGGTTGCATGTAGGCCAAGCACACACATTTTCAAATTGAACAAAAAACCAAATTGTTCAAGATTTGGCGTAAGTAGAATACTCAAAATGAACCTATGCCAGTGATTTTCGAAAGACCTAAATTCAAGCGCTATTCCAGGCATGAGGCATTAATTTAATTATTATGTGCAAAATCTCACTTTTTCTTGATAACCATACAGTCCCACCAAATGTTGTCGCTTGTCAGACTACTGCTGTGGGGCTTAATTTAACTGTTGTCAAAAAAGCCGACCCATATTAGTGATTTAGTATGAGGATCAGGTAAACATATTTAGAGGACGAAAAGGATGACCACGTAAGATAGCGAACAAGATAGTCATCACTCTTGGGTCGAAATTTGGGTTCCATGTTTTACGATCTACAAGCCGATACCCCAACTAGGGGAATGAAAACAAGTTCTCGTTGGTTTGACGAAAGCCATATTCATTTACAGCGCGAACTCTCACGTATGCATTCATAGAAACATATGTACGGTTAATTAGTATTTTAATAAGAGTGAAGGGAAAAAGATGCGATATTACTTCCGTAATTGGCAAATATTTAATAGTAGTACATAGTTATAGTGAGACGCCATGGTTTTGCAATCATGTAAACTGGTAAATGGTCGCTGATAAGAAATGAATCATTGCTGAACAAGGAAAAGGTAATGGTTTATTGAATAAAATGTTACAAGAATGTGGATAATTCAAGTAAGAGTAAAATAATTAGGAATCTTACCGAATCTTTAACTTTTATCGAATAAAAGGAACTGTTAATTTAAGAGCTCAAAGACGACAATAAACATTAACAACTCAAGAGTTATTCAAGAGCCAATTTCTTAAACACCATCGGTAAAATTAGTTTCGATAAGATGGACTTCAATTGAAAGAATTTTCAGGACAAATTTGTGCACTGAGTTTAATCCTTTCATTAGTAGAAACCCATCAACGTGGACATAATTCAGTGTGCCACTGGATACGACCCATAAAATTTAAATTTGGGTATGCGAAGTAACCCGGATCCAGAAAAAATCAAATTAAATGATAATCACTTGATAATTTTAGCTCATTTTCAATCTCTTTAATGCTTATCGGACTTGTGCTATTTGTATTTCAGTGGAATATAATACGGTAATAAGAAAACATTTATGACGGATAAGTTCGCAATCTCTATAAAATTAAAGCGTAACCTGAAGTTAACTCGTGGAATTTATTCATTCTGACTAATCGAGCAAAAATTATAACCCAAATTCACACAACGATCTGCAAATGGGGTTAAATCAAATTAGATTGTTATGAACCTTTATAGCTTTTTAATTTTAGATTTTTATTATCTCGAGATCGGATCAATTGTAATGTCGTCTCGAAACGATCCGAAAGTTCGAGTGGTTGAACGACTTATTTCAATTAAGTAGCCCCTAAAAGTTAAAAGCCGTAAACTTGACATGCCTTATCTGAATTGCCAATTTATTAATGCAGAGATTACTTATCACCCAAACGAACGAGAAAATTCGCCATTTATGCGTGTAAAAACTGCGATCTACATAAGGTACTTTGATAGAGAATTAAGGCTACAACCAGGTATTTCTCAAAAGATTGTAAAAACCACTTAAGTAAATTGGAAGGAAATTATACAAACTGTTGTTTCTCAAATCTTCGAAAGTTTGTTAAAATTCCCTTGCTGAAATGCGTACGCAAACTATTCGTCACACCCTGAGCATAATTCTCAAAATTTGATTATCGCAGCATCGGATAACCACCATCTAGTCAACCAACCCCCTGAAGTTAAATTGTATATTAACCATTCTTCTTGGTGAATAGAAAAAAAACAAATTGATATTGTGTTTTTCCTTAAAGGTAGTAAATGCAGACTAGTAAGTGTAATGACATATCGAACGGTCAATAGTTCATAGCTAGTGTTGAAAGTGTTCACCCTAAGCACTTTTGATACACAATTCAGCACATTCGTTCATATGGTGAGAGATTTCCGAAATCCTATTGAGAATGCTCATTTTTTTAAATCTTCCCTGTCATTAACTTCGAAGTCCATTGGTTGCAATGTATCCATCTACCTTACTCTGTATGATCACTCATGTAACCCCACTTCAGCATGTTTCGTCATGTCGATCGTTTGACTTTTAGTTTGGGAGGATAGAAGTCTGGTTGATTTCCGTGGGACGTCTGACCGGAGTCTCGTGAACAAAACTATTTTTCGGTGAACAAACTATATGTACACAGCTGCGTCTGACGCTAGCGACTGAACATGTAGCCCTAAATTTAGCTAACTATTTTTCAACAGCACTTTTGGAGTAGCAACTGTCTGTGAATGCTTTGTAGTTAACCTTTTGTTTAACATTACAAACGGTTTACATGCCAAATAAATTTCTACAATAAACCCACGTTGTTCGATTGAAAACGACATTCAACAGAATTGTATTCACAACCGTATCTTTGAATGTCAGATGTGACTTACTTGATCTGCATAGGCCGGCTAACTAAAAGGAAGGTGAAATTTTGCAAAAATATTTTCTAATCAGCTGCTGAAACTCAAATTTTTCATAATATGACATTTTTGTGTCAATACATTCTAAAGTGTGAGAGGTACAATGGTTCGTCTAAGTAAAGTAGAGAGAAAGAAGAACGCTTTAGAGTAGAACATCAAATGAACGCATGTATATTGGCAAGTTAGTAGTATAGTGGATGACATGGAGACACAGGAGGGTAAAACAGATAACTATGGAAATCTGATAGAATGTATCTTAGGGTTTGTTTCACGCTGATACTATTCTAAGGACTTGGAAAATAGCAACATGACCATGATAGACCTGAAATGGGTCTGAAAATGGCACACAATGCAATGATGAATGCTGTCAACACCGAAAGTCAAACTCTTAGGCTCAAACAGCACCTTTTTGACCCATAGAGAAGTTCGAAGAGATTCAAAAGATGAGAAATCGATTTCAGCCTAGCCGCCTACTTTACATTGGAAGAGGTATCTTTAAAATCAACTTGAAGTCCAAGGAATAAGGAAGGAATGGGAAATTAGGACTAGCTATTAATAGTTACTGTAACTACAATATATGTACCAGTGCTTCGACAGCGTGACCTCCAAAAATATACAAACTATCACTATATATTCCAGACGCACTCATAATAGTAAATATTTGCCCACCATGGGAATAAACCACTTATTCGTAGGCAGTCGCTCAACAGTCAAAACAATATGAGACAGTGATTCAGCGATTGTTGATGTTCGGAGTCAGTCGGACTGCCACTAACTAATTCGATTAACCTAGAGAGAAAAGTAGTCTCTACTCAAAGCAGAGATTTAAGCTGAAACTTTATATCTGGGGTTTGTACTAATGGATCCTTGAACCTAAATTTGGCGGATCTGTGTTTTCTGGATATTTATTTTTGAATTTAAAATTCAGCTTAAGAAACAATCAGGCAGATACTTCTTGCCGAAGATCAATCTAATCATATCAGAAGTCTAAAAACAACTGCGTTCCATAAGACCTAAATAATTGAAGTTTGACTAAAAGAGAATTCTGTCCCCTCTACTTTCAAAATTAATAGTAGAAAAATCAGAAGCTCCATTAATTGTCTTGTTTCAATAGATATTTCTTAAATATAGAAGCTAATTAAAACTCTAAAGTTTTGGATAAACGAGGAGTTGAAGGTTACAGTTGAAGATGGCAGAATTTCATGCTTATGGGAGATTTCAATTAACCAAAAGTAAGATGACAAGTCTGATGAGGAAACCAGCGGGGTATTCAAAGAGACTTTCCACTTTTACGAAATCACCACTTTTCTCCAGGCGATTGGCTGGCAGTGAAGATTCAACGAAAGTAGTTCGTTCTCTTTGTAATGAGTCATTTGTCACATACTCCTCTTCATTAAATACAACGAAATGTAAATTTGTGGCTTACTGAAATTAGTGTGGCCTTTACTACATCTAAAAGTTTGGAAATTTTGCTGATTCATCGGTTGCTAAAATGCCAATTACTTAAAACTAATAGTTAAGGTAGCAGACATCACTGTTTAACTATATTAATTCATGCTTTAATGGTGTTATTAATTCACACACACACACACACACCGTGTTATTTGTGGTAGGTTTGTGTGTTTGGCTATTGATTTTCGATACAGTGGCTATATATCAACCTCCCACGATGTCCTTTAGAAAATTTTCGTCCCATCGCGTAAGCGTTGAAACTAATTGTCTTCAATGAGTGGTTGATTATCGATTTTTTCACGGTGTTACTCTAATTTATTTATTTTTAAGTCATGCACCTAATAACGTGAAAACGGTAAGTTCTAAGTGCACAATTGACTGAAATAAGCTGACTAAGTATCCGAAGCCCTACATTCGGTATAAATATGTAAAAAAGCGACATGTTCGAGTATATTATAATCTTTTTCAGCGAATTCCGTTGTAGCAATTGTTCCTAGCGCAAGCATTGCCTTAACTAATGAAAGGGAGTTCTTTTCAAATGAAGCTGTCACCACTAGCTTGCTATTTAGGAAGATTTAGCCCATACACTGAGTCACTGCAAAAAAAGCAAAAGTAAGAGAAAAAACGAAGCAAGAAATTTGAAAAAAACACAACAAACTCCAAACGCAAAAATTTGGGGTACTAAAACGCACAAATTGTCCCCCCCCCCACCTCCTTTGTCAGTATATATTTCAAATAGCAGTGAAAATCTCGAACATTCACATGGATAGATGCCATGTGACGTGGACTTGTATTTCGAATCGATGAACTTGGATTTAATTAACCTAGATTTGCTTTGAAAGTGTAAGGTTGGTGACAAAGTCTACAGAGGCCTTGGTGGCACTATAAAGAATTAGTCTTTCTTAATTCTTTTCCTTTTAGCGGCCTTTTAATCCATAGAAAAATTGCTTTTACCTTGGACGTTGAACTTCAATCGGACTTTATAATTCATTCGATAGATTGGGACCTGGATGGTAATTAAGGAAGGGTATTTTAACAGAAATCACTAGAAACAACGTATAAGTGCAACTGCACTCTTCGATTTTGGCATTTTCCCAACTGGAAATGATTCATCTGAGAAGGAACCTTCTTCTTTGGACTCACATGATTGGCGGCTATGACCAATCTTTTTTGGTTGAGTAGTGAGTCAACTTGCAAGCTATCGTACCACTAAATAAATTGAAGGATAAAGAGGAGTCGTTTTGGCAACCCCGCAAATGGGTGATGGCAGATCATCATCGAATAAGATTTTTAGTATTTTCAAATTGACATCATTGTCGCACTGGAAGTGACGTAGAGGTCAGTCTGTGTATCTAACCGCTAGAAGTAACAAAATCTTTGACAATTAACTGATTTTAGAGACTCTAGAATGCAAATTACTAAATTTGTGCAAACTGCGTATTGAAAAACGTTTACTTTGATGTGCACTGGTGACGCAGTGGTCAACATGCACATCCACCAAATCAGGACATCAATCCACATCCGCGCACATTCAGTGATGTAGATACCCCCAACCGCACCGATGAATTCTAGTCACCATAAGCTATGAAAGAATGTTGTCTTCCTACATGGGCAGCTCCGCGATAGCTTCCCTCTTCACAATTCGCTTAGCCTAAATTGGTTGGAACTTTTTTCGCTGCATAGCCTTGGAAATTTCATATTTTCTTGTCAAAAGTTTGCACTTATGCGCCTTTTAGCTAGACTACAAATTCGATAAAGCCACATATCTCTCCTTAGAACGGTTAGAGGATCATATTAATACAAACACGTAGGTGCACAAGGGCATACAAAGCGACAATTCAATTAGGAGGTAAAGTACTCAAGAGGTCAGAATGCGTAGTTTGACACAAGATAAGTACCGAAATACTTTCATCCCATGTGTGTTAATAAAGTGAATAAGTTAAGTCGAAATCAAACACAATCAATACAATTCAACTTACGGGCAATATCGATTAAATCCGGATATGCTTCATAGGTGATCAAGGGGATAGGCAGCTGGCGAAGGAAGGATTTAATGAGACTGGTTATCGTATTCAAGTCACCACAACGTTTCTCCGATAAATCCACTGACTCACAATCTAAAAGAGAGACGATGAAAGAAAATTATAAACTCAAGATGGCACTAATTTAGGACTTGCGTGCTAAACAAATATCTGCTCGCTCGTGGAGTAATCGTTAATGCTGTCTTTTTCCATACGTTACGGATTGCTCTAGTATATTTGATTTCAACTGCATGCAAAATATAGCCGGAGGCAATAGTTTATCTCTAAAGAGGGAGTAATTCTTCGAAATAAACTACATTGCAGAATTTGCATTCCTCATAACCGAACAAAAGGGTCCTGTGTTTAATTACGACATTTCGGTAAATGCAATAGCTTGTTTTAGGGAAGTTTAGCAAAAAATTGAGAGGGGGGGGGGTGGTGGCGAGGGGGAAGCGAACGCTAGACTGCTTTTGTTTCAAGAGAGCGAAAAAACGGCGGAGAGGGCTGGAGGGAGAGAGAAAGACCAACGTAAATACACCATATCCGTGGTGACTTTTTTTGCAGTCAGTCAAATAGTGTGGAAGAACGAACTTTTGGGATTGCAGTTGAATTAAAGATAAGAGATATAGAGGGCATGTCAGATTATGCAATAGTGGGTAAATAATATTTAAAGAAGCAAAATAACAAATTGTGGAGATTATTCCGGTGTATTTCGGGTACAAAAGGGATTGTGGTAGCAGAGTTCAAGTTGGGCGGGATAGTAATGATCGTAATGCCATGCCAAAAAGTCAGTCATATTGACCTGTTTTTGACCGTAGCACGAGATATAAATAAATCGAGATGACACGATCAATCAGGCAAATAAATCAATCTGTCAATAAGCTTTGAATATCGTGGAGACAATCACTCATGAATATGTGTGATAATTCGTGCAATTTGAAGATTAGTAAAGTACAATGAACTTTGCTCCATAGGTAAAAAGTGACAATCGTATGCTTACAAAGACTTTTGATAACCTTGCCTCATTGTTTCTTAATCTCCCTGTGGTACAACCGATTGAATTCATTTGACATCCCGAATTTTATAATTGTATTCCAAAGATTAAGACTTGTAGAGCATTTCTTAAGTTTTCATAGAAAACCATATTAACAACAAAACTAAATGTGGCTAAGACATTCATGTCTGTCGAATTTGAAAAAAAAATGCGATTGATATATCGAATCAGTAGCTTCGAGTCAACAAGAAAAATGGGAAATGCAAGTTACTGAAGTAAAAGAGACTTCATTCTACCTTTCTACTATCTAACTCAAGAGTTGATCAAGCTATTATCCTAATCGGCGAAATAATCAAAACCGAATATAACGCTTTCAAACATTGTGAGGTAGGAAAGTTTTAATGACAAGACGTGCACCAGTCATAAACCTCCACATCCTCTTGTCTAAAGTGCTTGCTTAATACAAATGGCTACCGATTCTTTTGATCAAATGAAACCAATAAAGTGTCTAGGTTAGAAAAAAGCAGGTTCGAACATTTGCAGTGCTTTCGAGCGAGGATCATAGGCCTCATTCCTCGTGCACTATATTATCGATTTTTTATGCTATGCCTGAACATGCTAGATTATTTCCATAGTTCCATATAATGACCAACCAGGTGAGTTACCATATAGTAAATTCCACATACATATATCGATCGCGCTAGAGACTGAGTAGTGGTAGCTTCGTAGCGTGGCAATAAAGTCTACAACTTCAGTATAGGCACAAATAGGACCGATTTATAGCACATTTGTAGAAGGCCAATACAAAAAGGATAAACCCACTCCACACCTGCGCCACATTAAAGCAAGCCCAAAAGCAAACAAATCAAACCACAAATCACAAAAGCTCTATCCAAACAAAAGATTTCGCATGTATATATATATATATATGTGTGTGTGTGTGCACATGAGCCGGAAATAGATTGCGAGGACACACACACACACACACATAAGTCTTAAGCAGCCAAATTTGCAGTATTCACCAGCTAGGCATATGCTTGTGTGCTATTTTTATGAGATCTATGTACATTTGCTTGTCTCTCTTTTTTTCATCCGACCAAATAGAATTTCACAAGACAAAATAAGTTCTAACAAAATCCATTCTGTAGGCATTATTGGGAGCCTAACCAGAAATATGTCCTGACACAATTTCAAATGTTAAATGAAAGATCAATGGTGATTGGCGAAAAAAAATAATCCTTTACTTATGACGCTTAAAGTGCGTTAGGAAGATGAAGTGAATATTATCAATGAAATAAAATAAAATTTGCCTACATCTTACCAGCATTTATTTATCTATTATTCACTGTATTGCTCCACTATTGGCTAATGAATTCTTCTCAAAATATCCTAACCTGTATAAGCACCTATTATTGTTTTATGACCACCAGGGTATGAAAGCCCATTCTTCCTCCCCGTGGTCATTATACTAGGTATGAGTCGACTGTAGACATCGCATAATCCACTTTGTACCAATGACAACTGAATGCAAGCTTTTGTAACAGCTTAGTAGAAATACGTCGGGTAGGTATGAACCACACTTTGTAAAGAAACCAAGTCATGTGATTATTATCACGATGAAAGAAACGAGGCTTAGAAACCTCCCTAATTATTATTGATTTCTGCTTAAAAGATCAGTGTTAATTAAATTTAAATTTTATATATGATTATGGATATTAATATTAAATAATTAAACAAATAGTCAGTGCTTTACTTAGATGCATTCTTTCCAGCAAGAATAACCCAGATGATCCCAATGCTTTTGAACCCAACTCTTGTCCTTTAACGCTTTTGTTTCCTTCGCCTCTTAACCAATAAGAAGAATGAGCTGAGGGATACACAGAGCACCCCATTTCGAAATTAAATTATGAATGAAGAGTTAGGTATTGACTTCAGATTCATACGGGACAATGTCTATCATCTTCCCG